GGAAACAGTCTCAAGTTGGGCCAGGGGAGATTCAGGTTGGATATTAGTGAAGAAGTTCTTCCTGTAAGAGTCATGAAGCATTGGAACAGGCTCCCCGGGGAAGTGGTGGAGTCACCATCCCTGGAGGTATTCAAAAAATGTTTAGATGTGGCGCTTTGAGACATAGTTTAGTGGGCATGGTGGTGTTGGGTAGAAGGTTGAACTTGATGATCTTTGAGGTCTCTTCCTACCATAATGATTCTGTGATTCTGTTGAAGGTGATTTTTTTGGTTTTGCCCGTTTGTTTCGGTTTTTTTTTTGCCTAAACCAATAGCAAGTTTGTGGATGGGATGCCATTACCATTTATCATCGACTGAGGTTTGTAAGAGTACTGATTGCAATGTTTCCTATCTCTACTCTAGAGCAACTGCACTGGTGACCTTCCCTTTGCTTAAGAGGGAGGAAGGGGAAGATGATGTTTAATAGATACAGTGTTTGTACATCTTTAATTAGGAAACAGATCTTGGCTAGACTGGATCTTAGAGCTCTGAGAACTACTCTTTTAAACAGATATTTCTGTGGGAAGCAATGCATGTGATTAGTCCTGCTTTAGTAACCTTTTCTGAAACTTAAAATGGCTAATTACCTCCTTTTGTCCTAATGGAGCAATTCCTTCTGGGTAGCAGAGGGGAAGACTCGAAGCATGAGCTGGCCAAGTTGGCTGCAAGAGAAGTTCAAATTTACAGATCCCTCAGCAATGAGTGTTGGCCAACTTCCCTCTGAGCGTTTTTCATAATAACTTTGCATCAACTGAGTTATAAAAAAATTACTAGTTGTTTGCTTGTGAAGACTGAACACATAAGTTGTCCACTCTTGCAGACACCAAACTGCTTATTTTTTTAGTTGTATATTCTTAAAAAAACTAATTTCTGTAGTTTTTAAATTGTAAGGCTGTAGTATAACTCTAGGGGAGATCTTGGCTTGTGGATGTAGTCCAAGATAGGGGTAGCAACTTTTGCTCTCTGTTCTGGGAATACTCTGTCAGTAAAATGTTTGTTGCTTGTGAAACTTGGTCAGGTACTTCAGTGCTTTTCATGTAAATTATGCTTTTCATAACTTTAAGGTTTTTGATTAAACCAACAACCAAACCCTTCAAACTGATCTAAAAGCAAAGTTTACTTTTGTTCTAACATGAGCATGTAACAACCTGCTATGAAGGACTTTGAGCAGTCTTTGCAAGTGAAAAGAGAGATGTAGTACCTTCTGTGGTGGCCTTCCTATCTCTTAGCCTGCGCTGTTGTCTGTCTGCTGCTTGAGGATATCAAAGGCTTTGCACTGGTCCTTGACAACTTTGATGCTTTTGTTTATATCCTTTCCATGCTAATAATAGGTCAACTGATTAATTTAATTTACTTAGGGTTGTAGTCATGATTACATGACAGCTTCTATCTTGCATGCCTCCAGCTTGTCCAAAAGTTGAATTTTATTGGACCATGCCAGCTACTGGAGAGCAAGTGCTCTTTGTTTTTAAAAACTACTCCCTAAATACTGTAAAATAGGACAAAGTAAGTCTGAAAGTTTGACTTCAGACTGAATTAGCGCTTAAGCTGTTACTACTTCGGAGTTTCTTGTGCACTGGGGAGGGAAGGGACAAGAGGATCCTTCTCACAACTGTCTTTCTCTTGCCCGTAGAATGTGTTAAAGAAGAGAGACCAAGTTCAAGCGGAGTATGAAGCAAAACTGGAAGCAGTAGCCTTGAAAAAAGAAGACCGTCCAAAGGTTAGCACTTAAAACTACTCTACAAAAACACTTTGCACTTACATTATTTCCTGACAAGAATGGAGAGACGGAACTTGCTTTGTCTGGGTTTCACAGGTTCTTTGAAGTATAAGCAATTTCTGGCAGAACAGAATTTTGTTGGCAAGCTGGTGTGAAATAAAGACCTAAGTATGAACATACATAACCTGTCTAGCAACGTCTGTACTACTAATGTCCACCATTCAGAGCAGGATGCCTATGATATGTGTAACATTTGGAACAATAGCCAGCAGTCAGTTACAGCGTTGAGTGACATGAACTTGAAGCAGTGGCAGAACAGTCCCTGGTGATTCAGCAGTATGTCAGCTAGCTGAGTTAAGATCCTAGTGCTAGCACTGATGAACTGTATTATACAAGACCTCTTTTGACTGTGGAAGACTGTAATTTGCCTCTTCTGCTAGGGAGCAGTGTGATGCTGAACAGACACAGTGGGTGTCACAGGGTGGCAGATTTTGGCTGGGCCTCATGCAGAAGGAAAGCTGTAAACTGATTTGCTTAGGCTACCACCTGCTTTCTGCATGAAGCAATGTGCAAGATATCTTAAAGCACTGCAGCTTTAACCAACAACAGTAGTTGCTCTTCTTGGGGTTTTTTTGGTTCCGCTTCATCTTATGTTAATAACTAATGGATGATGTTCCAGTATTAGGACTACTGTACAATAATCTTAAAGGAGGCTCACATAATGTCTTTAATCTAAGAAGCTGAAGCAGACCAGAGCATGGAAATGCAAACTAGTATTTTTCTGATCTTGTGTCTCTCATAGGCTCTACAAATAGTGGTGTGTCAGGTATCTTGTGGTGCTCTTGTGTTTTGGTCTTTTGCCTGCCCCACTGCTGGCTGGTGTGGTATGTGCTCTTACTTCCTCGGTTTAGCTTTGTATAAACAGATATTTTAACAAGTTGTATGTGGGATGGAGGGAACTAAATCTAGCATATCCAGCAAGCCAATGGAGGTTTTTAGGCATTTGACTTTATCAAGGTCTTGATGCAGTGGAACTGCTCAACTTTGCTAATCTCTTGCCTACTAAAAGGCTTTTGCATCTCACCTCTCAGTGGGATTATTGTGTAAAGCACAGCACTTAAATAGCTGTCTAAGAAGTTTTTGAATAATTCTGTCTCCTCTCCAGGGTATGAGCATACCTTTTAGCAACTGCTTGTACCTTTTTCTTCGAACATAAGTCTTTTATGTGGTTTACAAGATGAAATTGGACAAACTAATAGAACTCCTTGCATGTTCATAAAATACTAGCTTGTGGTTTTGAGATTCTTTCCACCTGGAGGGAATGTCCTCATCTATAAGAGGTGGTGGTTCGGGGCTGTGGCTAACAGCACATCTTACATTGAGTGAGGTCTGCTGGCTATGACTTGCTGGAAACTAAAAGCAGACAGAGAGCCATGAGCTGGGTTATACAATGAATGGCATTTGTGTTCCTTTCGGTATATTTAGCTGATTTGGCAGAAATTGTTTAAAAAAACCCAAGAAACAAACAAAAAAAACCCCCAAACCCAAAATAAACCCAAAACAAAACCTTAAGGGAAAAAAGACCTACTTCTGGATTATGAAATGAGGGCCTATCATTACTTGTTAATCTCTTCCACTGGAAGACATTTTGGGACTCGCTGTACACATAATTGGATTGTCTTCAACAAAGCTCTGTCGGTGTCATTAAGTCATTCTCACATTGAGATGAAGAGCTTAGAACTTGGTGGCCTATAAATGCAGAACGCTTGTAGGGCTACTGTAGATATCTGTCAGCAGATACTGCTCAGAATGCTGAAGTTTACACTAAAAGCATGGGGTGTGTGGTGTTCTTTAACACTAGCATAACCGTATTAGTCAGGAGTCTGCAGCCTTTGTTTCTAACCAGTACAATGGTGAAGTGGTTCTTACCCATTCTGACCCACGGTGGAGCTGGTTTTGCAGTAATCCAACTAAGGTAGTGAAGTGCAGGCATTGTTTGTTTTTGGTGAGATGAAGTCCACCTCTGATGACTACATTTGTTCTGCCTGCCTGAAGGCTTTGCAGTACGGTGATCTATAGGAACAGTAAATATGTCAGTGCAGAACTTGAAGTAGAAGGGGACTGTGTGTATTTAT